GGGCGAGGGAGGGGCAAAGTGGGGGTGCGGGGGGGGAAGACCTTGAGCCGAGGGTCACGGAACCGACGGCCTGGCTGTTCTCAAGAGCCGAACGGAATCAAAACAATAAGGAGAGGTCAGACTAACTTCTTTGATCGTGTGCTTTTACTCCGGCCCGAGACGCGGCGAGATCGGGAGCGGCTGCCGATACTGCACGCCGAGCCGCTGCTGGAGGCCGAGGCGCTCGGGGAGCGTGAAGACCCCTTCTGGGCGGGCGGCGTGGATCTGCGTCGGCTCGAGCCCCCGCACACGGACGCCGACCTCGACCGGTGCCTCGCCCGCCTGCCCTCGGCCGAGGATCTCCTGCTGCGGCCGGGAGACTTGGGCTTGAAGCTGCGGGTTCGGTGTTTGGCCCATTTGGAATCCTTGACCTTAGGAGAGGCTGGGGAGGATCTGGGCTCCACTCCTGGGGACATCGACCCCGTGTCCACTCTCTGCAGCAGGAAAGAAAGGCTCACCTTAAAGAAATTCCAACACTAACACCCTCTTTTGTCTTCCCAACTCCTGACACATCCCTACATACAAGCCTAAATCAATCGTTTTTTTTTTTAGCTATACAGTCCTCTATAGGCAGTGCCGCACATGCAAGATTTCCATGCAAACCAAAAAAAAAGTTGTTTTCTTTTATTAATGATAATAATATATCAAATAAATAAGTAAATAAATAAACCTGGAATGAGAAACAAAACGAAACAGGAAAACAAAGTCGAGAAGGAACAGAATGAAAAGATTTCTTTTTTTTGTTATTATTATTATTATTTATTATCTTTTATTTTTAAAAAAATTATGAGCTGAACAGATCGCTGGATTTTCGAGGTAAAAAAAAGGAAGGGCAGGGGAGGTGTTTGGGGGGGAGGGGGGGTGGGGGCGGGGGAGAAGGGGAACAGACACAATAATATCTTACAATTCCTGGTTCAAAAGAAAAAAAACAAGGTGAAAAGTAGACGACTTGACTGAACAGCACAGAAATGGAAGGCAAAAGAATCGAAAAAATTCCACAAATGTAATAATTATCACTCAAATAAAACGCTCTTTGAATAATACGCTTTTTTTGTGTTTTCTCCTGCAGAGAACTGCTCATTCTGTCAATCTGCAACCCAGATTATCAATGTTTTTTTTNCTATCCCGTTTGGTTAACATCCACTTACCAATCAGGTAGTAATTCCTCCATTAGTAGGTAAGGTGAGAGAAAAAGGGAAAAGCGGGGCAACATAAGTGCATCATTAGAGTCACAAAATGCAAGAGAAAAAAAGACACAAAAAGCCCTTTCCGAGTAGTGAGAAATATGAACAATGTATGAAATTAAGAATGTGCAAAGGAATTTATTAATACTACAGTAAATGCAACTCCAATGCCTAGCTCTGCTGCGATAAGGCAAGTATTTTTTTTATTGGGGGGGACGGGATGGGGGACAGAGGATGTATTCGTGGGCAAATTGCATTGCCTGGCTGGGACCTGTAGGAGGGATATCTGCTATCCCTTACCTGGAAGAGGAAGGTGAAATGAATACTCCGATGGAAACACGACCCACTTTGATGGGATTTTGCACGTTGCAATGGGTGGGGAGGTGCTTTACAGGTGAGAACAGGAAGATCTAAGACTATTTCCTGCCCCCTCTCTTTTCCTTGAAGTTTTCTTCGATTGCGTAAGTGGTTGTGCGTCGAACTGGTGCCTGGGGAGGGAGGGAGGGAGGGAGAGAGGGAGAGGAGAGGAGAGGAGAGGACCCACTGGATTCATATTCTCCAAACTCCACTCCTCCCTCCCTCCCTCCTTCCCTCCAAGATCTGAACAGAAGGTGAGAAAGGGCAATTTTCGAACATCATGCTTTCTACTCTGCCAACTGGCTGGAACTCAGATTGGTTTGGTTATAACCAGCCTTTGCCCTTTCCTGTCCATGTCACCTCTTCAAGTATTGTGTCTCCTCTCAGATGGAAGGTTTGGGTTCAATGCTCAATAAAGCACCACCTGCGTTGCCCAGGACGGGTGTCTTAAGCTGACCTGTAGGCTAGACATTAATTCCCGGAAGAGAAGTCTGGATTGACGATCAGATTCTAAGTTCATGAATCAAGGTCGATATCAAGAGCAGCAGACCCGTAATCACCGACAGAATGAAGCTAAATTATAAACATTTTTTAAAAAAAGACTATGCCATTTTTATTCAATGGAAAAAAAACACAAAGGTTTCAAAACTCCAATGGGTTCCTGGGCTCCATCCCTGACCTGCAGTGATATTGATCTGATTGTGGCCTGGGTTTTGATAGCTGTGGACTGGCCTCTGAACCCATGCGCTGGAGAGGAAATCAGCCTGTGTTCCTTCCTTGTTCCCCAGACAAGGGCGGATGTTAGTAGAGGACAAATTGGGCATCGCTCGTGATGTTCGCTGCTATCATTATTTAAAGGTGATTTGAGTCCAATTCCCCTTGCAGATTGAGTCATTATGAGAGGGGATCAATCCCAGTGTGGTTTCTCTATATCCTCCCAGTCGAGCCTTCAGTTTCTCCGCTCCTAACCTCTGCGTCCCTCTCCCTCTACCCATCCAACCATCCAACCCGTTCCTGTGGAGCGCTCCGAGACATTACCCTATGTGGAGGGCACTGTATAAATGCAAGCTGTCGTTGTTCAGTGAACAGATGCGAGAAGGGGGTGGGGGGGTGGGGTTGTGGAGGGTGGGGTGGCTTAAGGATGGGCAAAAACAAACAACCCAAAGTGTCACCTCTTTGCTTTTAGTCACCCTTCATCCTGGGTGGAGCCTGGACAGACCAGGGTAGGTGCTGTGATGGAACAATTCCAGAGAGACAGGTGGGGGGTTGGGATGGGGGTGGGGGTTGCAGGGGCGGAGGGGACAGGACCTGCCTCCTTAAACCTCAGCTTGTTGTCTACAGGAAAAGCTGTTCAATGGAGGCCAAAGGTGAAAGGTTACGAGGGAATGCTCACCAATTCTCTTGATCTCTCCCCCACTCCCCTCCCATGACACTCAAGCACACACACACTCTTTTCCTTCGTTGCTGTTGGGATTCCAGTATGGAATATTCCATGGATTATAGTCAGACCAACCACAATTGCCTCCTACCCCAAAAGCAGGGAACAAAGAGCATTGCTCTGACCATCAAGCTCAGAGTACGTTTGGCAAAGACAAGCCTGTGAATGAACTTATGGAGTTTTTTCGGGGGTAATATATATATGTATAAAAAAAATCCTTTTTGTAAAACCTAGAACAAACAGCCACGATATTCAGGGACACCATGTTAGTAACAGCTACGGACGAACTCAAATTTTACAACGAAAAATGACGTTATAAAGGCATCAATTATGGATTTAATGCTACAACAAACACACAGATATGCACCTTAACAACTCTAAAGAACATGAAACTTCAAAAAATAATGTATAGAGAGATATATTTAAAATAAAAAAGAGATTCCAGAGTAGGGGGGCTTAAACTGGAAGATTGTAATGAAACTGAAGAGATGGGGAGGGAGGTGGGGGGTAGGAGGACGGGGGCGGTTGGGGCGGGAGGGAAAGGAAAAGGTGGGAGGAAAATAAAGATAGAAAACAAGAAACTAAACAAAATAGAACTTCAAGCCAGGGTGCTTTCAACAGGCTCATCTGTAAGAAAGTGTTGCGTGCGAAAGGTAGACTGATTCAGTACCTACCTTTCTAACAGGAATGCAATAACAAAAGTCACACAATATTCTCCGCATTGGAGTGCAGTGTGGGAAAGAGACAACGACGCTTTTAGTAACCAGCTATATTTGATGTGCTGCTCAAGAGAGTTTTAATTTCGCTCGTTTTTTTTTTTGGCTTTGCTTTTTTTTTAATTAAAAAGATTAATCGTATATTTTTCACAGCGCTCGCCTACAAAACACAAAACAGTCACCGTGCACTTTACAGCGTCCTCCTGACGTGAAAGGCGCTATATACCAAATGTAAGGATTATTCTACTTTTAATCGCTCAAAGCAATCGCAGCCATCAACAGAAATGTCAATTTTTTTTCTCTTAAAAAAAATTGCAGTTGTTTTTCTCTACCCCCCCCTCCATCCTCGTTCCCCCGTTGCCCCCCCCACCACCCCAATAAAATTAAACATAAAAAGTCCAAACACATGCAGTGCAGGTAAAGTTACATCAACATCGGCTAAGTAACACAAAGTGCAGCATGGATTATTGCATAAAAGGGGAGTCAGCTGGACAAAGCACACACTACAGGAAGACTTCAACAGTGATTGACAGCATGGGCCACGCTAGCCAGACAACCCTTACTTGCGAGACATTAACCCCTTGAAGTCAGTTTAACCCCCCCCACCCCACCATCCCCCATCCGCAATACACCAGGATCATTCACTGATCCCTTTATAATAATTTGATCACTTCAATCCACGACTGTGTGTGGGGACGCTGCTGAGCGCAATCGGCTGCCACGTTTCGCCCACAAAACGTGCAGTCAATTCCCTTCACAGTATATTCCGTGGAGCGCTTTGAGACATCTCAGTGACGTGATAAGGCGCTGTATCAAATGCAAGGATTATTATTATTATTAATAGAAGCCAGACTACAACATGCGTGAGGACCGCTCGCTTCCCTTCAGTGCTAACGGTATTCGTGTGGGTTGTCGGGTTCGTTGCCCATACTTTGGTTCACTTTGGGAGCATTTATCGCTACAAGACTGAGAGATAGTGGAGCAGGACGGTATGGTGGGGGCGAGAGGGAGGGAGCTTTGGTTACATTTGCCCCGACTCCTAGAGTTGTCCATCCAAAGTACTGCGTTGCCTATCTTATGCACCTTTCTCCCCCAGTCTATGAATTTCCACTTGAGTCACAGAACAAAATGACCCTGACAATCAACTGTTGGGATGTAATCAGCCTGTGGTTTGGTGGTCTGTATTTTTTTGCCCCCTAACTGGTAACAAGAAGGCAAAAGGGATGGACGCTAGTGCTCAGGTGACTTCTCTGATGTCAAGGCAGGTCAAAACTCTGCCACAGCACTCAAGCCAAAGGGCCAATAACATTTAGCATCAAACTCAAAACTACTGAAAACCAGCAAAAAAATGTTAAGTTACAAGAATTCGGTGTTGTCTCGCTAACAGCTAATCATCTTCAACGCACACTCTGGGACACCCCCCTCCCTCCCCCCACTCCCACCCACCTTGGATCTCGCCAACCTGCACCTAACACTCTCTGGAATTCGGTAAAGCAGGGTGTGTCCCTCTAAGCGGAGAGACAGAGAGAGAGAGAGAGAGAGAGCACATGTCATTCCAGACACAGGGAAATTTCCATGTGTAGGTGGCGTACTGCGTATGTGGAACTCTCAGTCTGTTTTTTTGGCTACTCTTATGCACTGTCTCTGCGTGTGTGTGTCAGGCACCCGGCTGACCGAAAAAAAGATGGCGTGGGGGGGAAAGAGGAGGTTAGTGAGATGCTGGAAGGAGAGGACAGTAGGTAGGGCGGGGGTTCTGGAGGAGTGAGATCAAATGGGCCCAAAGGCCACCTTCACCCGAACCGATCTTGTGACCTCGTTCAACAATCTACGCCCAGGTTCCAGGGTTGGACGTGTGGTGAGGCTTGGTGTACGCTAAGTGACAAACCGTACACACACTACGCACTGCTCCAATAGACATCTCGCGGCTTACGCTACAACACTCGCACTTAAAGACATCTGTGAATAAGCTCCACAGGCTGGTTTCTCTTCTCTTAAGACACCTTGTGTGCCACCACGAGTCAAAGCGGGCAGACTGTGGCACATCGGCAAAAGTTCTCAGTCCTGACTCTGGGCTGAGCTCAACTGGTCTCATGGATTCAAAGCAACTGATTCACAACAACTGATGACTGTCGCCTTACCTGCCATGGATGGGGAGTGGGGGGAGGGGGGGGATTAATGAAAAGATGCATTTCAGATAACACTGCATTTGGTGAAAAAGAAAGGTATTCGTGTCTCTTTATGTTCAATTTAATGCCTGTGTTACGGTTCCCAATTTGCCCCTTGTACTTTAACCCCCTCCCCCCCACCTTCCTACATACACACACACATACACACACTTTGGCTGGGATAGTTGAGCAGATCTGTCCCTGTGGAGATTGAGCATGCTAAAGGGTCTAAGTCTCCTGCTCAGACACAGAATTGGAGCGCTTTTAGATGTCCTCCTGATGTGAAAGGCGCTAAGCAAAAGTAAACTGCGTTGTGTAACTGCTAGACGCACACACACATAAAAGTGGATCTGTAAAGTTTGTGGCTATTGACACACCAGACATGCAGAGGTGCGGCACAAAGGGATGGTGATATCTACTCTCTGTGGTGGGTGGCGCCGGACGCTGGCTCTGATGGCATACTGACCATAGGCAAAATAACTGTAGTGACAATCACTGTCTTTCTGCTGGGAATGCCAGAATTTTCTGCTGTTATACTGTTGAGGCATAAGTCTTGTTACGCTCACTGTAATTAACACCCAAAATAAATATAGGGAAAAGAGGTCCCAAAAGGTCCACAGTCTTAACCTTAAGACCATTGTCTAAAAATCTAAGATCGCACAGAATGATGTAAACTTCCTCTACGCAGTCTATTTTCTGCAGTTCTGGCATTTGATACAGAGCCTCAGCACGGGGAAATGTCGCAGAGCGTTTCACAAAGTATTCGGGAAAGCGAGGTGACTGTGTATATTTGTAGGCGAAATTCCAAATCAAGGTTGAACTTGAGAATAGTAAGAAAGTTCAACAGAATCTTAAAAGTATCTGCTGGCACTTCTGAGATCCATTCACGCCTCGCTCCTTGACCAGATTAGAATCCACTTTACGGTTCTGCCAAATAAAGTGTTATCTGCTGTGCGGCTGGTAAGAAAATGCATCTGCCTCAGTGTCCCGGATGTGCGATGCGTTTGATGCAGGGTTATGCACCCACTGCCGTCCTTACTGTATCCAAACAGTGGAGGCAATGAGTCAGAAAACCAATAAAAAAGTGGCTGTCGATGCCTTTCCCTTTGAGGTCAGGGGCCCTAAATTCCATCTAGTCTCAGCCTGCGAGCCCGTTTCGCCTCGAAAAAGTGAACATCACGCGGAATTGTGCGTTTTAGAACAAAAAAAAGAGTCTTAAATTCGGTCGCAACGTTTGGAAGCCGATTACTGTTTAAGGTCTGCGGAGAACCAACTGTCTTCCAAAGTAAGACCGTTCACAAAAACGTTCAAACTGTGGGTTTTGGAGAGTGAGGGTGGATGGAATGTGGGGCCTCTGATGCTTGGAGGCTCCCTTTAGTCACTATTAATGTGCCTTGAGCTGGTTTCTCTTGTATTTTGTTTGACGAGACATGAATTGATGAGACATTACTAAGCACCGTGGGCCCACGTCTCCTCTGCACTGAGATGGAGGGGGTGGGGTGGGTGAGTGGGGGGGAGGAGTGGGGGGAAACGGCTCAGACCCAGAGCGATGCCCCCCCTCCCCCGCACGGAAATCTCCTTTGCCTCTTACCGTTTCGCACCCCCCCCCACCCACTCTCGCGGAGGAGCTTGCGCCCGAGACCCAGAGGGGACGCGAGGAAAAGCGCAACCTCTTCGCGAGAGAGCAAGCGAGCTGTTGCAACGCCAAATCGTCAGCTTAGCCAGAGAAATAAATTCATCCCAGGAATAGGGAGGAATGGGGGTCACACAACTTTGGTAGTCATTGAAAAATTACCTAAGAAGGAACAGGGGGAAAGCCATTCAGCCCATCCAGCCTGTTCCACAATTGAATGCAACCAGGGGGTAGATCTTTCAATCCCAATTCCTGGTAATCCTTTTTAAACATCCCAATTGATTCCACCTATAGGGCCATGTTGTATGTTCTTGCTCACCCCAATCCCTCTCCTACCCCCCCACCTCCTACCACCCACCCCATCGATCAGCTGGTAGGAATTTGGGGTTACAACAGGCGAGTGCTATACTGCTACAAGTGACGGCTGCTGTTCAGATGGGGGGGTGGGTGTGTGGGGGTAATGGGGAAAGAGAAAAAACAATGGTGGAGAATGGCGAGCACACACAAGACTCCGAGACTGGCTTTCAAAACTCCCAGAACACAGAGCGAGAGAAAGAAAGAGCGAGAGAGAGAGACACACACAGAGAGAAGGAGAGCGACACAGAGTTAAGAGGAAAGAGACTACATACATCCTGTGATTTGTCCGGGGGACGTCCGTGTCTCGGACTCCCGTGTCTGCCGTTCCACGCGGGCGCCTTGTATCCGTTCTGCCTGAGGGTCTCTGATCTGCCGCGGGTGGCTGGCGGGGGCGACTGGCTGGCACTGGCGCTGGAGCGGGGGCAGCAGGGCTTGCGTCCGTTGGCGTCCTTCTTGGGGTTTTGCCGGGAGACGGCACCGTGCCGCTTGCTCCTGCCGTGGGCGGCCCTGCGCTCTGAAGGCGGGCTGCGGCAGCTGGAGAGACGAGGCAAGGCAAGCGACTGGTTTTACACAGGGTCGTTGTGTACAACACTCACTCACGCCCTCCTTCCTCCCTCAACATACACTCAACACTCACACACACTCAACACTCACACACACTCAGACACACTCAACACTCAGACACACTCAACACTCAGACACACTCAGACACACTCAACACTCACACACACACTCAACACACACACTCAACACTCACACACACTCAACACTCGACCTGATAAGGCGCTGTATCAAATGCGAGGATAATTATTATTGTTGTTATAAATATAAGTCCTCGCGTCACCAAATTCTGTTGCGCTCCTCAGCTGGAGAGACTGACCTGCTGAGAGACTTGTAGGTGCTGGCGACAGAAGACACCGAGAGACTGCGAGATCGGCCGCAGCTTCGGCCTCGGTGGAACTTGCGTGCCGGAGATTCACTGCGCGACCTGTCGATCGGAAAGAGGCACGAGTGAGGCACGGCACGCTGCGGGACAGGACGTTCCAGAATAGCATCGTTGCCCAAGTACAACGTAGGCTGGTCTCAGTGACGGGAGGTGATGACAGATGCTGGTCTTTCAGTCCCCTCCGTTTGTACTGAATTCAACTCTGAATTCAGATGAACTCTGGTCTGTTCTCCAGCCGTGTGCAGGGCTGGCCACGCAGATATACTGGTGTGAGACTGAGCTCCGAGCGCAGTGAAATTGTCTCCTCAATGGTTGTGATTCCCTCCCTTTTCCTCCCTCGCTCCATTCTAAAAATGTTACTGTTGGGGTCACAGACAGCGTGGGATTGCAGCTGCGGTTTTAAGTGGAAGCTGGTGGTAGTTAAATTACTCCCAAAACACAGAATTACACTAGAAAGCTACAACAGAGATTCAATCCAGCCCAGTTAGTCTGTGTCAGTGTTTACAGTCCATATGGCTTCTACCTCATCTCCCCCATCCCGTTATTAACAATTTAAACGTTACCTTTTCCTTTGTTTTTTCTTCTCTCTGCGTCTGGTTTTAGGTGTAGTAGATCTACAAACAGAGGACAACATTCAGAAGGAATTTTGTGGGGGTGTGGGGGGGTTCAGCCAGGTGTCTGATGCATGGGGAAACCCACCGCCATGCTTAAGAATGTCCAAACCAAACTGAGTTCAGAAGGAATGAAAGCATCAGTGGGGAGAGATGCTACCTGGGGACAGATTTACTCTCTCTAGTCTACCTTATTCTAGGCACTCCGGGACGCTACCCTGCGTGAAGGTCGCTATATAAATGCGAGTTGTTGTTGTTCTATTGACGTAGTGGCTTTGCAGAACGTCCAGAGTTTACCAAGTTCTTAAACGCAGCTTTGATTTGGAAGCGGGCTTTCTGTAAATTTCTTTTCACAACTAACAGGAGACCTCCTTCGATGCCGAGGGTGTCGTTACGTAACTGTTACATAAAGTAAACCTTGCCCCAGGTGGAGGCTTTCCCGGTACGTCGCGTGCGAAGTGTTGACCCGTAAGGACTTTCGATCGTGGAATCTTCAAATCAAACCACGCTGTGAATTAGTTTTCTAATTAATCGAGCCGGTTGTGAGGAATTCTCAAGTCTGGTTTGGATACTCTTTAAGCACGGTGATGGGTTTCCGGGTGTATTGGACCCCAAAATAAACGATGGCTGATTACCCTCCATGTAAACTTGCCCTTCACCCCCACCCCCACCCCAACCTCGTGTCCTCCTGTCTCAGGGTACCTGAGAGCCCATGAGAGGTGAGTGACTGGACTTGTGATTATGGCAAGGCTCAGCGAATTGCTATCTTTCTCCAACACATTACCTACCTGTGCCTCCGCTTTTTCCTGGAGCCGGAATCAGACCTGCACAACAACAAGAGGCGAGTCAGACTGTGTCTTACTTGATTCCCACACAGTTCCCCAAGTGAGGAGCTTTTCCGATGGAAAGCTACAAGCGGTGGCATGTCACAGTTACTAAACTCCAGGTCATTTGGAGCTGTGAAAGGCTTGGTTTGCGACAATGAGCTGTGACTCAGTACCTGCCTGCAGTCTCCCTACGCCACGTGTCAGGGCCTACAATTCACAGACAGTCCCTCGACCATTTCCTTTCGTGTCAGCATTTACCAGAGAGAAAACCAATTATCTTCAGCTGTGAACTCACCATCTTGTCTTGTCTTCCAAATTAAGGGTGAAATGAAGAATTTCCCAATCATTAATTGGTCTCATGGGCTAAGACGAGGTGGAATTTGTTGCCTCAGAAGCCACGTGATTTGGGTATAGCAATGAGAGGTTACCGTAGAGAGGCTTTGCATCAATCCAGATGGTGCCATTAACAACATCACCTCACAGACTGTCACGCAGTCCGGGCTGGTGTGTCGGGAAAGAGGAGATTAGCTCTTCTCACAGGATAATGGGTAACCTTCTTATTTTAGGAATGTAGGAATTCAAGCGCTCCGAGTGAAGGGCGCAGTATAAATGCAAGTTGTTGTGGTTGAATGTCCTGAGTGAAGCTATTAACAACCAACCCTCAGACCATACAGACATTCAATCTGCTTACGAACTGCTCGATGAGAGTGAATCTAAAGCAATGTCCTTTCTGCCACGTCCCTGAGGGAGTGACAGTGTGTGTGTATGTGTGTGTGTGGGAGGGTGTGTGTGTGTGGGAGGGTGTGTGTGGTGTGTGGTGTGTGTGTATGTGGGAGGGTGTGTGTGTGTGTGTGTGTGTGTGTGGGAGTGTGTGTGGTGTATGTGTGTGTGTGGGAAGGTGTGTGGTGTGTGGGTGGGTGTGTGGTGTGTGTGTATGTGGTGTGTGAAGGTGAAGGTGGGCCCAATCCTTTCTCCACTCCAGGAGGTCCCTGTCGGAGAGCGATGGGATGTCAGACAGACAGCCTGAAACAATCACTCCACCTGTCTCTCTTGTGCTTCTTCCCACTCTTCTTTCTCCTCTCTTTTCGGGACGGCGACGAACTGTCACAACTACAAGACAATAGAACAAACAAAACGCAATCATTCACTGAGTGAAGGCGCTATAGGCTGTGGGGGGTGGTGTGGTGGGGGGTGGGGGTTGGGGGTGGGAGTGGGGAATGGGGGAAATGCTTTAAATTGGTAAATGTTTAAAAAAAACAAATCAGATGCTGTACAGGAGTTAAAATTGAGGCTTCAGCAAAAACTGCTTAAAAAAACACATTAACTCTTTTCCCGGTCAACAGAGGGAAGATTGGTATCCCAACATGAAAGACGCTAAATAAATACAATTTGTTGTTAGAAACATAGAAACAGGAGGAGGCCATTCAGCCCCGCGAGCCTGTTTCGCCATTCCCTAAGATCACGGCTGATCTGTGCCTCCACTCCAATTACCCGCCTTTGCCCCGTATCCCCTGAAACCCTGACCGAACAAATATCTGTCCAAATACCTTGCTGTTGTTGTCTGTCCTGAAATTGTCCTTTACCCCCTTTCCCCTGAATCTTGTGTTGAATACTGAGCATGACACTGTAACCCCGGGATCAATGCCAACTTGTTGGTGGAAAATATGTCCGGAAGCAAATGTGATCTGAAGGGATTGTTTTTTTCTGATTGTGATGGTGGAACTCACGGAAGGACGAATGTTGTACTACTTTCTTCCCAGGGTGTGGCGCTTCACTGGGTTGTCTAGCCGTGTACTTTAAACAACGAACCTTGGCTCTGGCCAACCTGTGCTCGATACTCTGCAGACTTAGGGGAAGCGGGATGAGAAAGTGCGCGCTCCAGTCCAGACCCGGGTGACATTTCTCAAATTGGCTGCCCAGGTCCACCCACAGTAAATCCCGTGAAGCGCTTGGGGATGTCCTTCCGGCGTGAAAGGCGCTGAAGCAAACGCGAAGGTTACTGTACCCACGAGCAGCTCTGAGTCTGCTCTGGATGCTGTTAAGCACGGTGATGGATTTCTGTGTCTGTGTCCAACACCCACAAAAAATATATTTGAAACACCACAGTGGATTCTGCCCAAACAGCCTCCTCCACACTCTCACCACCCTCTGTGAGTTACAATGTTTTTCTGATCTGATTTGTAAGCATCGCAACATACGGGGGGGGGGTTTGTGGTGGTGGGGGGGGAAGGAATGACATAACCTGTCTTTAACTGAGACACACAGCTGTTTCTGTTACACACTGCATCCTGTCTCTGAACCTGGTTATTCTTACCTTCTCTCGCAGCCTGGCTTCCTCTTTTTGCTTGCGATTAACAATGTGTGGATGCGGTGAAAAGGATGAGCAACAATTATTAAAAAGAAAACAAAAGTAATGTCTGAGTTCCTACAAACGATTATAATATGTACAATACGCGAAAGGGAACAAGCTGTTAACCGGACGATGTGAATTTGAGATCATTACCTCGTTAACCCCCCAAAAAAATAAAAATAAAAGGGAGAGGTTGGGAGAAGGTTATTATGACGTGGAAAGAATGATAAGCGTCTGCAATGGCTTCTAAAAGAGACCTGGAGAAATCTCTGAACAGAAAAATCTAAAAGGGTGGGTGTGGGGTGGGAGGGGGGTGGGAGAGGAGGGGGAAGGGCAGGGGACTGAACGGAGAGCTCTTTCAGAGAGCCGACATCCACGGTGGATTTCAAGATGGATGTCAACCTATGACTCCTCTATGAAACCGTCCATCTCAATCCCCATTTACTGCTCTTTTCCCATCCCCTCTAATCCCCTTCCTCCGCATCTGATTTCTTTTTAAACGCCCACACCCACCCAATCGATTGCTCATCCAGCAAATCCCCTTCTTCCAAACCCCCCCACACATACGGCAAACCATCCCACGCCCAGACCGACCCTCTGAGAGAAGATGTTCGTGAATGTGTTCGTTGCCACGAGACACTTACCGGCTTTTGTAGTGTCCGGATTTTTTCTTCTTTTTCTTTCTGGGCGGAGGAGAGGCAGAACTGCTCGATTTCCTCTTCAGACTTAAGTGAGGCAGGGAGAGAGGGAGAGAGAGACAGAGAGAGAGACAGAGAGAGAGAGGCGAGGGGAGTGGAGAAAGACACAAACGTTAACAAATAAAATGTGAATCCGGATACGAAACCATTAATAACAGTTAGAATCGAAGACAAAGATATTGCATCTTTGTAGTAATCTTATGAAGTGTAAATGTCTCAAAGTGATTCACTGTGCGTGTGCACAATAAAAACAATAACTTGCACTTATGTAGCGTCCTTCACGCGGGGTAGAGTCTCGTTGCGCTTTTGTAAAGGCATTTGTAGCAGCAAAGCCACACACGCAGTTGTGAATTGAATGTAGATAAACGTGGGAGAATTGTTGGCCAGGACTCCCAGTTGGTCTAACATTTCAAATGGGGTTGAAACGTGAACCCAGAACAAAGTTTAGGACGGACCGAGACACGGAGACAAGAGGAAACTGGTGTAGAGTCACGAAGGGCAACTTCAGGACACACACGGGATGTATTTCTTTACCCAGAGGAGAATTAACGACTGGAACCGGGTTGCCAGGAAGGGTGGTTGAGGCCAGGACGTTGGGACTCATTTAAAAAGCAGCTCAATGCTGTGATGGGGGGACGGTAGGGCGGGTTGTTGTGGAGGGATGAGATTAGATAAGCCGAAGATCTTGTGGAAAAACTCCCGTCTCTTCTCTACCAGTGTCACAGGATCTTTGGAAAGCAAAGTGTTGCATGTTAAGGTGGACTACTGAACGCAAAGAAAGAACATCACAGGAAAGAGAGGAGCTGACCAGTGGGGAGGAACCGAGACCGCAGGAGTCTTGGAAACGAGGATGGACTAATATAGATTGGTTGCTGAATGGCGCCGGGCACTTACTCACTGACATTGATACCTTGCAGCAGAGCTACAAGCCTGGCAATAAAGGCTGTTAAATAACCTGGGCACAAAGGCCAGGGCACACACACTGCCCACTCCATTCAGGTCCGTGCACCATGTGGCCGCACGCACGCACGCACGCACACACACGGAGCAGCTATAAACTACCAGCCCCTGCTGATTGCCCGGCTGTAATGAATCACCCGGAGAGAATGAGTCAGTTCCTTCGTTACCTCGGTGATCGGGGAGGGGGGCGGCGGGGAACGTGTAGATCACTGAGACTCCGCAAAACAGCGAGAGGTACCCATCAAGTCACCGACCGGCAACAGAAACAGCAGCCGTTCAGCCTGCCTGTAACGGGCTTCAGTACAGGGTGACCCACCTACACCCAGGGCCTGCTGCTCATATTCATTCACCAGCTGCTTTTAAAGGCCAGGAGCACAGCTGTCTCTGAGGGAGCCCATTCTAGAGACTGAGCGCTACGTGGGGAGATGATACTTAATGAAGCAAGACAGATCGAACCATAGAAATTACAGCGCAGAGGGAGGCCATTCATCCGCCCAGTCCATGCTGCTGCTGGCCGGCTCCCCCACTGGAGCCACCAACATTAAACACGATTCCCTGTGTTTTCCCTGTTGCCCCTTTCACATTGACCAACGTACGTTCTACGCAGATGACCCAAGTCTGATATCACTGGAACACAACCCAATCCCATCTTGACTACTTACACGGCACAGCCTCCAGCCAACGTTTATACAAAACTATATGCCTGATGTTTAATGCTATGGCTTTGGGACATGTATGTAAAATCATGGGGTTAGAGCACAGAGGTAGGGCCATTTGGCCCCTTGTGTCTGTGCTGGTGCTCGCTCCCCCACTGGAGCTCTTTTTCCTCAACTATTTATCCAAAGTGTATCTAGAAATAATAATAATAGTAACAACTTACATTTACACTGCGCCTTTCACGTCGGGAGGAAGTCCCAAGGCGCTGGACAGTCAAGGATTTGGACCCGAGCTGGGGGTTGGGATCAGTAGGGGTGGAGGGCGGGGAAGGTAGAAGTAGGAGGGTGACCGAAGGCGCGGTCGAAGAGGAGGGTGTTGAGATGGGCCTTGAAATGCCCTGGAAACTTTTGATAGCAACCCAGTGTTCGACAGTGCAGCAAGGAGCTTGATGATTTTTTTTTGGTGGAAAGGATACGGACGAAACCTGACCAATTTTATTTGGGGGACTGTCAGCCAGGACACCGGGAGAGAGAAACACGGTTTGCTTTTCGAATAGCGCCCTGAGTTCTTTAAAGTCCACCTGTGAACAGGCTGACCTGACCTGGGTTCAAGGGCCCGTCCAGAGGACGGCACATCTGACGATGGTCCACCCCCTGACACGAAACGTTCCTCATTGAAGCCTCAGATGACGGCAGTGTCAGTGAGTGTATCAGTGCCGGGCGCTCTCGTGTTGAGTCTGATGTCATTTGAAGGACATCACTGGAGCGAGCAGAGCTGGGCCCCCTTCCAAGCTGTCAATCACATCAGGAGCCTGCAGTGCACGGCTGGTGAAGCAACAGCAGGACTTTATTGAATAAAATCATTCCGTGTGTGGGTCTGACGTTCAATTTGACCCTCTGATGTGACAGTCCAGTGCTAGGATTCAAGCCTGTATTCCCACCGCAGAAGACTGCAGGCAGCTAACTCATCCCGGTGACAGCTGAGCTCAATACTAAACAGGAATCACAATTAAAATTCTCGCCCCAAGTCCCTACACCAGTCACTGGCTTGACGGTAATTACCGCGCAGTTGCAATCCCTAAGTGCACGATAAAAATACCATTTCTTTTTTTTCTTTCTCTCTATCTTCTGTTCTCTTCCCTGCCCCAAATCCCTCCGCCCTACATCCTTTTCTCCCTGTCCTCAAAGCATTTTTTGGGATCCAACCTGCTGCGCAGTGTTTAGGGTCACCCTCCTCCTACCCTCGCCTGCTTGTTCCCACCTTGTTGAGTGCTCCACGCTGTCCCTGTGAGATGCTCTCAGACACGTCCTATGTGAAAGGCTCTTTATTGTTTTGTTTCTTTTCCTTTCCCTCTGTCTATCTCTCTATCCCTTTTTCTCTCTCAGTGACATGTGGTTACATGTGATTAGACTGGCGCTTTATCTTTACATTTTAGCCATGCTGATATCACATTGGCACGAGTGAGGGAGAAGAGAGGGCAGAAATCCGGAGTGGCAAGGCAGAACCGGCTCAGATTTGACCCAGGGAGCCAGACACAGTGTGTTCCTCCCCCGTCATCCCTCTGACTGGTGCCAGCCTCTGTGCTGCAGCAGTCAGTGTGAGAAACACAGCCCACCTGCCCTGCTTTCTCCCCATCCCAGGTATTCGTTCTCGTTCCCATTAACATCTGCCATCTGCTGGGTCTCAGGAACACTGTGGGTTGAAGGAAGGATGGAGAAGAACAAGGATTGCAGGGAGAGGAATGAGAGTGGGTGGGGGGGGGGGGGGGGGGGGGGGGGGGGGAGGGGGCGGAATGCACATTAAAATGCGGAAGACAGAGACCCTGTGAGCGTAGATTGCACTCAGTGGACTGCACTCTGGACGACAGGCACTGATCACAATCCAGCCAGCGGTGCACTGCAGCACTGTACTCTGGACAGCCAGTACTAGACTCTTATGGGCTCCTTGTGACCTTAAATAGAAAGAGCCCGAGCTCAAGAACAGCCAGAAGAAAGCTGCCAGACCCCACCTACGCATAACACAGTGTTCAATCAACAATAACAATCACATTTACACAGTGCTTTTCACTTCGTGAGGACGTCCAAGGTGCTGGACAGTCATGGATTTGGACCCGAGCTGGGGGTTGGGATCAGGAGGGGTGGAGGGCAGAGGTGACACCATCTGATATTGTAGCTCCCCCTCCGCCTCCCCCCAGCACCACACTGGTACGTCAGCGTAGAGTGGCAGAGTGAGCATCCAACCCATCCCATCCCATTTCATTCCGCTCTATCCCAGGCCGGAACGTTTCCCAAATATCAGAACGTTGCCCAAAGGTGAGGGTGCCTGGCACAGGTCTGTTGTTGGCATTGCTGAGCCCTATGTGCTCAGGCCAAGCCTTTGTATCAACAACAACAACATAAAGTACGTCAGACTAGTAAAACCAGAGGTCACGGCCTACAATTGAAGACGGGTAAATACAGAACGAATCTACGTAAACACTATTTCAGTGAGTGAATAGTGAACCTATGGAATAGGCTCCCAAGGAAGATGGCTGAAGCAGGAAGTGTTGATTCCTTCAAACGCAGATCAGATAGCTTTCTTTTAGGAAATATAGTACATAGGTATTCGGGACATATGTGCAAGCGCCCGCCAGGAAGGTGGAAGACGAACTAGATGGACCTCAGTCTTTTTCCGTCTAGCATTTCTTATGTTCTTATGCATTACATTTTATTATTAATAATAATCATAATAAGTAATAACAGCTAATATCATCAACAATAATTAATATCAATTATTAAATAATAATGACTACACAATCAATCTGCGACAGTCAATTCACTTTGCAGTGTATCCTGTGAAGCGCTTTGAGGCGTCATGGAGATGTCACGTGATGAGGCGCTGCATCAAGTGTAAGGATTACAATCGTTATTAATATTAATATTAATCAATAATAATAATTAAATTTTAGAATATTTATTTTAACAACGGTCGCAATTGGCCTGTTTAATAATAATAATAAAAAAGCACAGCCTCACAACCTGGAGCGAGACCCGAGCAGAGCAGTGATTTTGCAGCTTCACAACACCCTGCTTGGTTGGTGAGAGACGATGAACAGCCTCCATTTTACTGCTCAGCACATTCCGAGACAGATAGACGCACACAAAACCCTACCCGAGCATTCAACGCTGCTGATCTGCAACAGATATTACTTGCAGGGAAGAGACAGATGGAGGTGGGTGAGGATGGGGGTGGGGGTGAGAAATCAATGGATTTCTCAAGGGAGAAAGCTGGGGCTGCTGTAGATATCTCAGTGCCGGTGGGGGGGAGGGTTGGGGGGTGGGGGCTGGTGGGTTGGTGTGAGTTAAGCCAGCACTGACCTGCCTGTGGGAGCACTGCCACTGGCCGCCTCCCCGGCCTGGCTCTCTGTCTCTGGCGCGGTTTGTAGCCTCTCGGGGAGATGCTGTTCACTGCTTCCTATTCCAGGCATCGTGTGCGAGGACATGGCGATAGTGCTTGTGCACAGCTGGCACCGGGAGACTCACACAAGCAGGGGAAAGATGCAGTGAGAGCGAAAGGCTGCCAGCTGCACTGTAAATCCCTGCTCTCGCTCACAGTCTGGTTGTCATGGTGTATGACATGCTGGTAATTGTGCAGAAGCGCACAGCGCACCTACCCACCCACACACACACACACACGTTTACACAGCGCTTTGTAGCCGTGCTGCTGCCTTGCTACACTCACACCACACACCACACACATGCATTTCACACCGGATTCAACAGAGCAAGCATCACCCGGGGATTGTGAGGGAGGATTTATTCTGTTGGCTTTTGATGCGAAGAGATTTCTAGAAGCTTTCTCTCTCTCTGTCTCCCTCTCTCGCCCACTACTCTTCTCCACCTCCATTCAACTCCACATTGTCTAGCCATCTTCCATTGATGGTTGGTACCCTGCTGTTCACAGCCTTACAGAGCCCAGCATCAAGATACAGGCAGACAGTTTAAAGATGCAACAATATCAAACTAACTATGTCGGTGATACACAGGCATCCTTTTAAACAATAGGTTTCTGACTGCTGTGTGTGTGTGTGGGGTGGGGGGGTGGGGGGGGGGTGTGTGTGTGGGGGGGGGGGAGGGTGTGGAGTGTGTGAGGCATAGCCAAGGTGGGCTGCTTGCAAAGGCTGGATTCTGGATTACCAGATGCACAGCACTCAGGATCTGACGGCTGTATCCGGCAGCATATAATAATAACAATAATCCTCACATTTGATATAGCGCTTTTCATGTCTTCTCGACGTCTCAAAGCGCTTCACAGAATATACTGTAAAGTGAATTAACTGTATATTTGTGGGCGAAACGCGGCAGCCAATTGCGCATAGCAATGTCCCACAAACAGTCTTGGATTGAAAATGACCAATTTATTATTGTTTTGGTTTTTGGAGGGATTATTATTAGGCTCTGTGTGGAGTAAGGAAATTTGCCCAGGGTTTCGCCCTCTGCCTGGAATTGAACCCAGGTGTCTCACTTGCAAAGCGAGTGCTCTATCCACTGAGTTACAGGACTCCACATATGTATGTATCAGCACGCTCTTCAAAATGGTGGGAGAGGGGGAGGGGGGTGGGGGGTAACAGAGGCAGTTCATGTTCTTCACGCAAGGACAACTACAATCTAGCTCCCCGTTATCTTTGGGAAAAGATTCACCATGCTCGTCCTGTGTGAAAGGTGCTGGATCACAGCAAGGTCTGCTAGTGGTTTCAAACAACGATGACGACAACAAATTGCATTTAAAAAACACCTTTCACGTCGGCAGGACATGCCAAGAGCCGCTGATCCTGCAGTTAAGTGCTCTGGGACAATACCCTGAGTGAGGGGCGCTGTATAAAAGCAAGTTGTTGTTGTTTACCGGCTGGTTAACTGCAGGAAATCAATACTCCAATGAGTGAAAGCCCAAACGCTCCATTTCAGCACCACGGAGAGCAGCAGTGAATTGGTGGTGATGGACTGTAAAGCCCAGTAAGTGCAGGGAATGCTCTATGTTGATGTCAGGCACCGCACTATATTCCGTACCCACGCACTCACCATTGAAAAGAACTGTTTAAATGGAGATTTACTCTGAATATTACTCATAGTAAATGCCTGCGCTCTCAGGGACTCCGTCCCAGACTCTCTCCGCCTCTCGTCTCTCCCTCCCCACCTGTAAAGCCACGTCTCAAGACCTTTCTTTCCGACCGTGCTTTTGGGTACCTCTCCTCAGCTCCCTGCCACGCCACCCCCCCCCCCCCATCCAGCCGTTCCAGTCAGACTGTGGTAGTGGGTATGAAGGGATGAGAATTTTCGGTGGAAGATTACACAGACTGCCACACGATGGCGATATGAACCAACAATTCACTCAGCTTCACAATGAAACTCCGCACGGCTGGAAAATAGTGGACGACGAGGTCTAATATAGTGAATGGATAACATTTCCTTTCAAAAAAAGATAATGATACTTATTTGATCACTCAATCCACGACTATATGTGGGACACTACAGTGCGCAATTGGCTGCCGCGTTTCACCCACAAAATATACAGTCAATCTACTTTACGGTATACTCTGTGAAGCGCTTTGAGACATCTTGAAGATGTGATAAGGCGCTACATCAGATTCAAGGATTATAATTATAAGCGTTTGAGCATAAATCTTAATAATACACATAATACACATAGGCATTTCTGCTGCCTTGACCTGTTTTGGGGGGTGGGGAGCAGATGCTAATTTGCAGGAGAAATTCCATGACTCCTCTGCTAAACAATTTCTCTTGCACGTCTCAATGCCTTTGTTATCCTGATGATGACCCAGATATACTAAGCCCCTCAGAACTTCAAGCATCTCCACCAAAACCGCCCTCAGGTACTCTTCACAGGGGAGGAAAGTCCACACGATGAATGTGAGATAAAATACAATCTCGAAGAAATGATAAAGCGCTATATCAAATGCAAGGATTATTATAATACAATTGACATTTATCTAGTACCTTTCATGTCGGGCAGAGAGACAGATGTGACTTGTGTCCACCTCAATCATAAGGTAGGGGGGACACCTAAAATGATCGATACAGTCAAAGAATGGGGGAGGTGAATTGGGAATAAATAATACCGTAATATTGGCCATATAATGCCGATATAATGTATGTAATATTCAAGCAAAGAAATCAGAATAAATCCTCTAACTGCTGCAATGTTTGTGAGCTGTCTGTGTAAAGCCTGAAGCTATCAGGTCACTGGAGAAAAGGGAAAAGCGAGCCCTTGGCTTGGCTTTGATGCAATGGCCGTAAATCATCGTGGCACTGCCAGGCCAGGTTTTTATCCCCCCCACCACCCCCCACCCTCTCTCTCTCTCTCTCTCTCTCTCTCGCTTTGGAACATAATCCTTTAGGAATATTCTGAGCCGCCGAGGTTTCCGTTAATAATGAAAAAGTTCAAGGAGCAGAAAATTGAAGAGCGAAGAAAAATTGAGTTGGTCTGGGATAAGCCTGGGCTGTCCCTTAAGGTGACGGACTGGGCTTTCGATCATGGCAGAGGAGGCAGCCTTTGCTTCGCTTTCTGTTTATCAAGATTAGAGCATTGCATAGTGGAACTTCTGGCTAGCAATACACCAGCTGTAGAAACAACAACAATGCTCATTTATACAGCGCCCCCTCATACAGGGTAGCATCCCAGAGCTGCCTGACAGTGACGGAGCATGAAGCTGAGCCGGGGGAGGAAAAAAAAACTTTAAAGAACAGACCAGTCGTGATGATTCACAAACTGTAATTGATTTGCTATTTGTATACATAAAAGATTCCAAATTTACCAATAAACCTGCCAAGGAATAAAGCCACACTGATCAACAAACACCTGAATGTAGATGAATCCTAGGTTTCTTTTTAACCCCACACTGGAGCTCTACGCTGCTCCGTGACTGAATTAACTGGTAACGGATCAGCACCGGACAATACCGACGCGAGGAAAGAGTTGTGGTGACGGGTGCTACCAGCAAGGAAGAAGCAGGCACAGTCCTTAATCCCTGCTCAAACCCGGTGAACCGGGAGGTGGAGTTCACCGGTAACTATGGACGTTAAGACGGACAGCAATATCTCGGTAGCGGTTCCCGAGATACTCTTGTCCGTCTAAGGTCCGTTCAACAAGACCGTTATTTTACCTCCATTTGTGGCCAAACGAGAAGATCACATTCTCATGTACTGTTGACTTGGGGGCTATTGATGTACTTACACATTGTGTCCGTGGGAATCCTCTCTGGTCAGCACACCTTCCTTCTCCATCAGCATTTGCCGAAAGGCCCCGACTTTCTGGCAAATCTCTTCTGGGGTATACCTGAAACACAGAGTGAATGAGCAGCTCAGGTTAGACCATCTTCAGGTGGGAGTTTCAGTCTTCAGCAAACCGCAGTTATTACAGCTCAGGAGGAGGCTGTTTAGCCCCTTGTGCCTGCTCTACCAGTGTATTAAACCACGGCAGATCTTTTAATCCCATGTCCTGGTTTTTTCCCCGCATTCCCCTGACCTCCCAGATATTTTTACCACCTCATTTGACACTGCCTGTACTGCCTTCTGGGGCCGTGTGTTCCTCGTTCTCACCACCCCCTGTGCAAAGACACGTTGCCTTTGACTTCACTCTGGAATGATAGTCCTTGCACTTGTCACATCGTGGAAAATGTCTCAAAGCATTCACTGGATTTTATTGTCAAGGGTAGTTAATGAGCAAATATTTACAATCCTAGGGGGCAGCCAATTCAAGCCCAGCAGTGTTTCCTCAAACAGACGTGAAGTGAATGTGGACAATGTTATCTGGGAGGGTTGTTGGCTAGGACACTGGGAGAGAGCAACTCTGTTCTCTTTTCGAATAGCTCCGCAGCATCTTTAACACCCGCCTGGACAGGCACAGACAGAGAGATGTCGGTTTAACGCCTCAGGTTTTACTGTAACCTCTCCTACTTCTGTACGCTCTGAGGCGCTACCCTGCATGGAGGATGCTATCTATGTAAGTGCAAGTTGTTGTTGTTGTTGTTGAAGGATGCAGTGCTCCCCCAGTACTGCCCTGGAGCGTTTCTGTCGACGTGCCTCACAGAAGTAGGAGAGGTTACAGTGCAATCTGAGGAGAACTCTGAGAAGACGTGCATTTCGGCACCTTACCACAGCGTGAGAAAAAATCTAAACTGAATGAAACTGAATAGAAATTAAGGACAATAATCTCAAATAAAGCAATAGGCCCAGAAGGCAGCACATTTACATACATTATGAAATGGCAGAGGAGGGTACAGTTTACTTAGAAAAACACACAAACACACACATGGCTCCTCGATTACTTATGAGCCACCTGAGGTTCATTTTGACTGCTAACATGAGCTCGCTGCTTTCCACTTCATTTAATGTCAGTCGCCCTCATTTCTTTGTGAGTTCAGAAATTCCTCTTTATTGCAGTGTTAAAGAGCCTGCTGTGATATTTCAGCTCTCTGCAGATCTGCTCGCTCCCACCTACCTGAGAGGGAATGATGTGCGATGAGCACGCAAAGAATAGGGATGAGATGAAGCGGAGCAGAGTTTACGCGTCAAGAGTGCTTAACAGTGGCGAAGCCTGACTCCGAGCCAGGGGGGAGGGGGGAGATGGCCATAGGGACAGTCTAAGAGGAAAGTTTTCAGGTGGGACTTGAAAGAGGGGAGAGAGGGGGCAAGGCGGAGGGATTGAGAGTGAGTGTTCCAGAGTTTTGGGGTGTAGTGGCTGAAAGTGCAACCTCCGATGGTGGGGCGGAGGGTGCGAGGGATGAGCAGAAGGCCAGTGCCAGTCGAGCGGAGGCGCCGGTGATGGATTGGGGATTGAGGAGGTCGGAGAGGGAGAGAGGTGCCAGGGAGTGAAGGGATTTGAACACGAGTGAGGATCCTGAAGTCGATCCGTTCGGAGCCAGTGGAGCCTGGGCCAGAACTGGTGAGATGTGGGGACGGAGTTTGGTCCAGGTCGGTATGCGGGCGACAGAGTTTTGAATGAGCTCAATCATGTGAATGGTGGAGCTGGGGAGACTGACCGGTGAGGAGTGCATTGGAGTTATCCAGGCAGGAGGTAACAAACACATGCACAAGGGTTTCGGCTGCATTTGGGATAAGGTACGGTCGGAGGTGGGCAATTGGGCGGAGGTGGAAGAAGGTGGTCCTTGTCAGGGACCGGATGCGGGGGAGGAAGGACAGCTGACGGTCGAACCGGACGCCTAGATTGCACACTGGTTCGGTGAGTCTGAGGGAGAGCCCAGAAGTGTAATTAACCGCTGGAAAAGGATAAGCAGATGGGTGGTTAAGGCCAGAGTCCTGGGACTCACTTGAGAAGCAGCTCAACAGCTGCTGTACCACCAAGATGGGAGGGTGGGGACTAGAGGAGGATGAGCCTTTGCTGTAATCTTGCAAGATCTGCTTTTGGCAGAAATTCGTGAATAAGTGCAGGCAGGGAGGGCAGCCACAGCATTGATTTATATGGAGCTAATTGCTGCTCAGAAACCTGGAGAATATTGTGAGGACATTAAGGAACAGCAGATGGGAAGGAAGAGGCTTCCATGATAGGGTCGTCGGGCAGGGAGCTACGAGTTATAATTAATAGACACAGTTTCTGCTATCACACAGTGAGAGACAAGCAGGGTGGCTTCCTCACCATCCACACTTGCTCACTCATCCCTAGAACACTCTGCTGTCTGTCTGTTCCTTAAACCTTTGGTTGGCATTTTATTTTTACCTAACCTCCGCTTAACCAGCAGTAAGTAGGAACCCGGTCGTTTGTCGATTGGCGGATTGCTTTTCGGGGGGTAATAATCCCTACTTAATCTGAATCCTTCGCCTTTTCTGCGAAGCGTTCGACACCCCCCTGGCTTCCCATCTTTTGGTGTTAGGTTTCAGTCATGGAATTCTGACACTGAAATGGTCACGGTGATTTCTCGGTCGCCGGTCACGGGAACAAGGGAAATGCAGCCGAAACCCTGTTAAGCGGGTAATTCACGAGGCTGGGATGGAGCACTGGCATAGCCCTACCTTGAGAAGCTGGACTGTGTTCTATTGAAACTCCCTCATGTGGCAATCTCCAAACACTACACTCTATAGGATGTTTTGAAGGTGAAAGGCGCTTAACCAAACGTGATGATGATGAGGATTATTATTACTCGAATTATTATTTTAGCTCGAATTTTCCACTTGAGCCACCAGAGGGAAGTGTTGTCCTCAAGCCACATTGTCAACTCCCTTTATTATTTTTAAGCACCTCAGTCACGTCACCCCCATTAACCTCCCCAGCTCTGGGGAATACAACTCAAAATAAGCCACGCAACAGAAGGTTAATGAGACGACCGAAAGCCCATGCGCGAGCTCCCGTGTGGAATCTCTTAAAGGCACAGCCGCCTAATTCCCCGGTCGACCAAGGAAAGCAAATGATAAAAGGACAAAGCAAGTCACCACTCAATTCACTTCACAGTCACAGAGGGTGACAGCAAGCCCGATCAAAAAGGACGTCTTAATAACGTGGCAAGGCGCTACATCAAAATATTTATATTGATTAGAAGAGGTAGGGGAGGAACCGGTTTTATAAATTGAAAAAAGCTTTGGAAAAAAAGCCATCAAAACCGTCCTCTTTATTTTTTGGAAGCGGTCAGCCGGTGGATGGCAGATGCAATCTCAGAATTTGGAAGTTACGGATTGGAGAGAAATCCAAAGAAAGTCTCCATCAGAAGCCACTTAACCAGGGTCGAGAGACATCAATAGCAATCGTCAAGGCAACCATTACCATGCCCAAATGAACGCCGCTCGCACATTCTCCCCAGAGATCTGTTGTGGCTCTAACTATCTGCCACAGGTCAAGGGTTTACTATAACTGAAAAATCATTACCGCTAATGTATTAGGACCAGGAGCGGAGCAATTTGTGGGGAGCGCGTTAGAGGCATGGGCCGGGCTGCCGGGCGGTTGGTGAGAGTGGGGGTCGGGGTGTGTGTGGTCATAATTGTGTCTAATTTTTATAATATAAATATAATCTATCGGAAAATGCAATTTCATCTGCAGCTGGACCCCATATTAAAATTCGATTGAGTTGCGTGGAAAGGCGGTGGTCTCAAAGCGAAAGGTATCACATGTCCAATGAACATTGTGGGAGGGAGGGGTGTGGGAGGGATGGAGGTGGGAGAGGAGGAAAAGGAGGCAAGTGGAAGCTGTTTGAACTGAAAGATCTGTTCTGTTGTTCTCCCAACACACTACTGGAGCTCGTGCCCCATTTTGTTTTCTGTGAGGGTCCTTCGGTAAAATTGATCGAAATTAATTGATTGATTGAAATTCACTTAGTTTCCGCCAGTTACAGGTTGGATATTACTGTTATTATGTTGGTGAGAAACCCAATAAAGGGGGAATTTCGTGAACAGGTTCCTAACTGGATTGCAGCTTGCAATGTTTGCTGAACATAATCCTCTTGCGATGTTTGCTGACCACGTTTTAACCCCAGTTAATCAGCTGTGATAAACTTCAAGTGATTCCCGTCACATCCGCTAATCCCTCTCTAGCAACCTAATCACGCAAAGTGCACACAGGCTGACGAGCGTGAGGCTATCTGAGGATCTGATCCCAGTCCAGGAGAACGCCGCTGGTTTGGAGTAAAATTGGTGATGGAATCCATTGAATTTTCGCTCTATCTATTTTTTCGACTATTCTGGGCGGGGCGGGGGGGGGGGGGGGGTGGGGGAACCGTCGCATTGTCGGATGCGATATTAAACCAAGGTCCCGTCTGCCTGCTCAGGTGGAACTTAAAGTTCCCTGTCGGAAAAGAGGAGTGGGTTTCTCCACCCTGGTATCTGGGCTGACAATCCTCCCAGATAAAATGGGTCATTTCACTTTGGTGGGTGTGCGCGGGACCTTGCTGTGCGCAAACTGGCTGCCGCGCTTGCCTACAAATAGACGGACACCGCGATTGACAGCAATTATGGTTTTGACGTCTCGAAGGCAAAGATTATTATTGTGTCCATATTCCCCCACCAGCGTCTATTGGCTCCGTGCAGTAAAAGCCAGCGAACCTCAAATCCTCAGACACATTTCTGTGCTCGTCAAGGTGTGAACTCAATTTTTTTTAATGTTTTGATGCAGGAATATTAGCACGGAGATTCAAAGGTGCCCGGTGGTTAATTCATCCACACGGGCTCCTTATCTGTGTGCTCCTGTCTTGCCGGAATATCAAACCTCACTCTACCTGGCAGCCTCACCAACCCGCCTGAAACTGGGCTAGTCGCAGTTTCAACGAATACAAAATAATTCTGTCTGACACGATCTAGCAACACGAACGCACGCACAGTGGCGTGGCTGCCAAA